TTTCATGACTGGTCATCTGTTCTCAGCTTCACTTGCTTATTGCTGAGTTGCCTGGAGCAAGATATACTTAGCCTGAATTAACTGAAGCAGACTTTGAAGTATTGAGAGTTTCCTTGATCATTTTGAATGGTTTTGTAAGCTATTGAAAAATATTTGGAAAAATAACTTGACACTTGTTTTATAGTTAAACATACACTTGTCAATCTCTGTGCCTGGCAGCTCCCTGTGTGTAATTCCTTTGGAATTCATGAATCTATCCTTGTTTGAGAAGGTGAGGGAGGGGTGGTGAAAAAATAAAAAATACCTGGACAGCCTAAGTGAGGTGGAATTTACTATGTCAACTTTGCTTAAGAGAGGGTGTGCAACTTCTTGCTGTTAGCTTATCAAAGCAAGCAGGGCAGCCAGTGCAGTCCTACTGCCTGGTACCAGGAAAGGCATTGTTGGCATGAATGTGTGGTTAATCCTTCTTGGCCCAGTGGGAGCTGCAGAGGACCTGCAGACCTGTGCCTGCTGGCAGCCTCCTGGCAGCCTCACTTGCTCTGTGTGAAGGCTTCCAGGACCTTACTGAGTACCACTGACAAGCCAGGGGTAAAGAAGCGATGTGCATGTTTTTCCCCCTCCTGGTTGCCCTGGCCATGGCTAAAAAATTTAGTGATTTCTCAGCTGTTCTCTCAGAAGTGATCTCTGCTTAATGTGAGCTGCGCTCTGATCTTCACCATCATCTGTCATGTGCTCCCTCTGATCTCTGCATGCAGGAAGCAAATAAATTTATTTTCCCTTCCCAGCACATCCCTTCACTTTTCCCCTAGTTGTTGTGATCAGTATACCAGTTGTTGTGTGAGTATACTCTTAAGCTAAGAGTCTGTTTGTCTCCCTGTGCTCTTTGAGAATGGAGGAATTAGAGTTCCATTGTGTTCCCAGCCCCACTGAGTTTACAGGGGCTCACAAGAGGCTCTGTTTTTCCAGAATAGATTGATCTTGAAACATTTGGATTATCAATGAGTCAATGTTTCTTTGAATTAAATTGAATAAAATAAAGCACAGTTTAAACCAATATGCTGAAGGAAATCCAGTAAGGGGGAGAAAACAACCTGGGCTTATGAAGTGGGCTGAAAAGAGGCAAGTGTCTGTACTGCAGTTCTCCCCACTCAGGATGTTCTGTAGAACCACAGAAAGAGTGAACAGAGTGTTAGTTATGAATTAGTTATGAACACATTACTATTTAGGCTTCCTGCACCTGTCCTTTTATGGGACTCAGTACTGAAGCTTAAACCAGGCTCGTAATGAGTAAGTAAGTTTTAAAAAGAAAAAAAAGTCCTGTTACTTTCAGCTGAGGGACTGTTGGCATTTTCTTTCCAGCAGCAGCTGTAGGGCTTTACCCAGAGCATTCAGCCAGAGTTCTGCATGGTGGCCTAAAGTCTGACCTAGAAAAACAATATTGGCTTCCATTGGTGTTTGCTATATGTTTTTCTGTAAGAATGGTAATTCACTTTATTATTTGCTTTCTAATGGAGAGCCTGGTTCTGGTGTGAAAGGGAATTTCTGTTTCTCTACCAAGACCATGCCATGGAACAAGGGATGCAGAATAGCATTCATCCTGGAAGATGGAGCATGTTTGCTTTTAATCTGGGAGTAGACTAATTGCACACAGAGCTTGTGGGTAATTTGTACGACCTATTGATCAGTCAACTGAATTATTTATGAGTACCTGCTGTATGTGTTTTCACTGCTGCCTAATGGAAGCATTAGAAGAGTCATGTTCATCATCTTGAAAGCATGTTTGCCCTGTCATACCCAAACACACGGCAATAAGGTTTTGTGCAAAGAATCTCTGGACACTGGGGAGAGAGATGGGATCTCAAGCTCTAATCTAGTTGCAGTTTACATGGTGATACATTCCTGTTTTCTGCAATGATATTTACCTGTGTCATCTTCATTTAAAGATGGATCTCTGCCTTCCTGTGCATTTGCTCTGCTATTTTTTATTTCACAAAAGGTCCAGAACTTGTTTCTCCTTCCCTTTAGTTTTTTATGCCACCACCTTGTGTCTGTGCAGTCCTTGGGTCTGTCTTCCTTTGCTGGACTTGCAAGGCTTCTTAAACCTACATTGGGATAGATGTTTGTCACTTTACTAGTCAGATGCAGTGCCCTTCTTTCAGTAGTGATTAGCAGCCCTTCATTTACCTGGCCTTCAGTGCACAGTATTTCATAGTCCATCTTTAATAGTTTGATATCATTCTTGTAGTTCTGGAGATGTTCTGGAAATAGTTCAGCCAAATCTCCTCCCTGAAATGAGAAACATCTCATTCTGTGGTGGTTGCTCTGACAACCACAGGCACGTTGCACAGACAGGTAAGATGTAGGAGCTGCAGGAGAGCTTTACACCTCCTCTAGAGTGGCATCTGGAGGGGAGGGAGGCTGTCGTGTATTTGTAGCACCACTTCAGATGTCCCAGGTTTGAACAAGTTACATCCGTAGCATTGTACCAAGGTCATAAGTTATGTAGCATTTTCAGTCTTTTGATGTAAGGAGTAGATTTATTGCATGTGTACCTTAGTTTTATGCATTCAGATAGAAACAGATGAGAGACTTGTTCAGAATCACAGTAATAAAATTTTACAACATATTTCCTCTTTTTGTCTTCTGTCTGCAGGTCCACCAAGAGCAAAGGAACCACACCACGGAACCTGTGATAGATGACTATAAAAAGATGGGGACTCTGTTTGGAGAACTAAACAAAAGCCTTATCAGAATAGGCTTCACAAGGATGTACTTTGGAGAACGGATAGTAGAACCCGTGATAATTATATTCTTCTGGGTTATGCTCTGGTTTCTTGGCCTACAAGCTCTTGGACTGGTGGCTGTTCTGTGCCTTGTCATTATTTATGTACAACAGTAAAATTTTATAGATACTATTTGGATTATGTATTTCTACACTGTCACTATGTCAGTGGATTTATGTGTTTAAGTAAATGGGTTGTATATCAAAAGCTGCAATGCTTCAAATTGGTGAACTTCTGATGAGGTTTTTTAACATTTTAAACCAAATCAGCGCTGCCCTGCTACATCTTTTGGGGAAGGAAAGGAGATGTTTGTAATATAATGGTGTGAAATGTACCGTTTTCTGCGCTCTTTGGGCCTTAGCCAAAGGACTGGCTTTTCATTTTCCCCTCCCCTCTCCCCATGTTCTTGCTTTGTATAGTGAAAATTTCATGTCTGGTTTTAAGAGGACATGTGGTGTGAGTGCTCTGTTTCGTTGCTGGGAGGGCTCATGTGCTGTTTGTTCCCTGAATCTGCATAATTTGTTTGTGTTTTGCTGAAAAGCTAAATCTGCATAAGGGAGGTTTGGTAACAAACCTGTAAGATGAGTACAATTTCCAGACACAAAAGCAACTTGGGGTAGTGTAGTTTATAGTAAGCTCTCCCCCAGGAAACAAGCTGTACCAGCAAAATGTCCTTATACTAATGTTAGTGACATCACACAGGACTTCAGCTGTTGTTCAGGAGAAATTGCAGACTACATTGGCCAAGCGGTCTGGTGTAGCACTGCCTTGTTTTTTTGGAAATGTACTCAGCTCCTGCTGCTATTTTTCTTTCTTTATTTTTTGTACTTGCTCTTTCCCCCAGCCCTCCTTCTTAAGATAAATATTTGGATAATTCATGGAGTTTGTAGGTAGTTCCAGCTGCAGTGTTGGACACTTGCCATTCCAGACAGCGTGAATGTTGTCTGCTTCCTCTGGGTGGTGTGACAAGTGGCTGAACAAGCAGTTAGCAGACCAGATCTCTCAATGCTTCCCACATTTGCTGCAGTGTGGGCCCACACAAGCTAAAGCTTTGTGCACCTAAGCAAACTGGACCTGTTTCCTCATGCAAGGCAAGAATGGAGTTGAAACCAGGTAGTTATTTTATTTAGTGGTCTTAATTTTCCATACAAGGCAGCAAAAATACCTACCTACAGGTATATGTCATGGGCCACACAGCCTAGGGAATAGGTTATATTGATTCAGGATAAAATTCACTCAGCTCCCCAGTAACCACCTCAGGGTGTTCTGGGTATTTCCAAGTTCTCTTCTTCTCCTGAAAATAAACAGAAAAATGGGACAGAATCTTTACTACTTACACTTTACTACTACTGCTGAATGGGCTAGCAAATTAATATTTGTTGTACATTACTCTTAGCAAGAAACTTAATTGCAAAATTTATTTCATTTGTTGTAGAGGGAAATTACGTATTTGCTTAAAGAGATTTAATAGGACATGTGAAATTTACAGAAAATTACTTAACCTTTTGCAGTGACTTTTTTCCTAAATGTTTTTACAACAATAAATTAGTTGAAGATGCTGTCTTATTCAAAGACTTTTAAAGTTAAGGGAGGGTTCTCTATAGACCCATTCCTGCAGCTGGATTCTCAAGTCCAGCTTTTTGCATGGATCATTTTGTCTGTTAGGCTCTGTTTCCAGGACTGCTGGCCCCAGTTCTTACAGACTTTCCTTTTAGGGAAATAACTGTTATTTAGGGCAGTGAACATGAAAGCCCTGCTCCTCTAGATTCTTTTGTATTGAAATGCCATCTCTTGATGTGTCTCTGTGCTTTTCTAATGAGCAGGTAGTATCCTTCTGAGGAGGCAGGTCACCTCTCTGGATCTTCAGATGAGCCTGCGTGTGGATTCAGGAGGCTCTGCTGGACCAGCAGAACTGCAGGGCACTGGGACTGAGGCCCAGCTGTGTAGCTAGATGACAGCCTGTGTTGATTGGCACTGGTTAAATAGTTCTGCTGGTGGCAAGGAAGCCTTGGACAGCAGGTACAGGCTGAGCTCAGAGCCAGGAGCTCTGTACTCAAAAGTGCCTAGGGGTAAGCTTTGGGTTTGTTTCAAATCCCCTATAAGGAGAACATCTGTTTACATCTTTGCAGATTTGTATAAATAGAATGATGGGGTTATGTGTATTCTCCTCCTGTATAAGGGTTGTATTACAAAAGCATCCTGTTGTTAAAAGTTAAAAAAAAAATCCTTTCTTACTTCCCACAATCCAGTTACTGTACCGAGGATCTCATTTAATTCCCTTCATCCCATAGGAAGAAGTGTTTCTGTGATACCCTTGTTGCAGTAGTTCTGTTGTGTAAAGGTGCTGTGCTGTGAGATAGCATGTGGTATTTCCTTGAAGTGGTGACTGTGCTCTGTACATAAGGAAGGGGGAACAGTGAGCCAAGGGTGTGACCAAGATCTTCAGTGAGGACCTCGTTTATGTACATGTGACCTTTCATCATGAGCAGAACTGTGACTGTTGCACTTGTGAATTCAGTTCAGTTGTTTGTTCGATGTTCATGTCTGTACATGTACTCTGGGGAAAGGTAGGGTAGCTTTGGGGCTGATAGTGGGTTTAGTGAATGCCTTAGGTGGTTTCTCTTAAGGGTAACTAATTGTCCTTTTTAGTAGTTTCATAGTTTTAACCTGAAAAAACAGTGCTAGTGGTGTAAGGTGGGCTGAAAATGGAAAAAGAAGAATGCATTGCATGGTCAGTTCTCCTTTCCTGTTTGGTTTCATACATTCCCTTGTATATAACAATTTGTACTGAAATGTCTGTCCTAGTTTTGTGCTATTGCTGTACTATCTCCTTCTCATTTGCAGGGAAGGCAGGAGGAGCTAAGGAAAAAGGGGAACTGGAATAGAATCAGACATAAAGAGTGGAAAGTGGAATGGGGTGAAATGATGCATATATGTGTCCAAAGAAATCTGATCATAAATGTGTGCCAGAAGTGGGGGGGAAATAGGTGAACAGTCCTTGCTTGTGTTTTTTATTCCATCCAGACATAGTAGGAAGGCAAAGGAAGCAACAAATGTTCAAAAGATGTCCCTAGCTAAAAAGGCAAGAGGTTAATTTTTAAAAAGAAAAAAAAAGGGCAATTTCACTGTTGTCTATATAGTAAAAATTGATAATGTTATTTATGCTGTTAATATTATTATTGATAGAGCTAAAAGCACCTTTATGCACCTGTGTGTAGGACTGTATGAAAGAATTATGTCCCTTAAATCTGTGTTTAACAACAACAAACAATATAATTCCTGTTGGTCAGTGTGACATTGCAAGCACTTTACATAACCTTAATTTTTTAAGGGATGGACTCTTCAGTGCTGCTTCACGACTGCCAGATGCATAAATGGTTGCAATAGTGTGTACAGAGGAGCTCTGCAGGAGAATCTTGGAGAACCCTGTTTGCGCTGAAACATCATCACATCAAAACTGTCCATATATAAAGGAAAAATCTCACTTCTTAAAAACTCTGTATTGAATGAATCCTATGGGAAGCACTTTGTTACTCTTTCTAATAAAAAGTATTTCCATCAGTGAGATCTGTGAATTCTTTGTGGTGCTTTGTTCAAAGTTACTTGGGTCCTTTCAAAATGTCATGGTAGGCCCATATAAAATAGGGCAGTGTTGTAGATATCCACTGAAATCAGTTAGCTCAGCTGATGGGGAAAAAACTGCAGTACAAGAGCTGAATAAACTGCATCAGGTCTCTATGGTTGTATGCATCAAGTTATGCTAAACTAAAAGAAAATAAATAGTAGATCTAGATGTCAACAAATAAGGGTAACATTATGGTGTAAAGTAGCTTTTCTTTCACAGTGTATCTGTTTTGTATTCAGAGCAGCCTCTGAAGGGAACCAGACGTGGTCAGGAGTGTGAAAAATCCTTTGAAGTGACAATTGCTGTGCCACAGAAAGGTTTGGGTGTTATCAGTTGGATTTTTTTTAGATACACGTAGAACGTTATGTAGTTCAAAACAAATCTACTTCAAGCTGTTGTTTTGGTTTGCTTCTGCAGGTCAGAAAGGTGTTCATTCTGTCACATCCAGCAGACACTTCAGTGTATCTGTGTTGCTCAGGATGCCCAGTGATTTAAGGAGTTAATGGTTTTTTAAAGTATCAAAGTTGAATTTTGGCCTTTTGAACTCTTACTGAATGAGCACAAAAGCAATAAGGTTCATTCCTGAATAAATTCAAGCCTTCCGATTTTTTTTCAGTTAAAGTAACTTTGTCAGGCCTTTTATAAAGTGCATGCAAATTCTGAACAACCTGGCTTTGACTCTGATTCTTTCCATCCTGGGCTTTGCTCTAGAGTTTAGGAACTTCTTAGCCTCTCCCCTCTGCCAGAACTGACAGCTTTATCTGCTTTGTCCATTCCTCCTTTAACTCTGGCATTTCCTTCTCTAGGGGTGTTCACTTTGAACAGTCTTTCTCTGTGCCAAGAGTTCAGGCTTTTTTGTCATTCAGTCTTACTTAAAACCACCTAGACAGAAAATCTATTTTCAGATTGGTGTTTTGTTTGTTTTACTGTGTGCCTGCTTAGCACCAGAGGGGAAGAATAGAGGATTTTTTTAAAAAAGATGTGTATGCTGGTCAGTCTCTTCTTTTTTACAGTGCTTATCTGCTGGTTTAGAAGATGGTTACCAAACTCTGGTTTGCAATCACCAAAGAGAGCATTGCAAGTGTGGAGGGTAAGGAGCTGTTGGGAGGCTGGCACCAGGATTTTGAGAATAGACAGGTCAAGCAGCATGTGGCTTAGGGTTGTTTCAAGCTTAAACAGGCAGGTGGACCTAAGTAGCTTATCTTAACTCCTTGGTTGCTTCCAGGAATCTCTCCAAATGCATATAAAATTATTAGTATTCCTTCTACTGAAGGAATCTCACTCTGAAGAATGAGCTTTCACCAGCTCTGTTTTTCACAGAGGAACCAAAGGGAATGGGAAAGGGGAATTGGACTAATAATAGCAAGTTTTAACTTGCAGGCAAGCTTCTGGTCTTCTCAAATTCTGGTCTTGTCCTATCCAGATAATATTTGTGTCTTGTGTGCAGTTGTCACTAGTCTTTATCTCCCCCCCGCCCCCTCCAGCCTATATATGTATTTTCTAAGTAGTAGGAAAGTGAAGCTGCTGTGATAATACATGTTTTTCCCAATTTATTGAGAACTACACACCCTCTTTTTCCCCTCAAGTGTCAGGAGGGGTGTGACTGGGTTAAAGCCCTTCTGGTGACAGGAGCTGCTCTCTGCAGCCTCAGGCTTCCAGTACTATTGAAATACCTGGAGTCTAAGTGGCATGGAAGGGACTGTTATACCACAGTCCGAGGGATTCGATCAAGCAGTGTTTGAGACAGAGCTGTTACAGAGTGCTGCCAAGATTTTATGTTCCTTTAATGAAATTTAATTAAGCCCCATTCTTTCTTGGCTTGTCCTGGTACCATCACCTTGTGTTCTGAATGAATGTTGTTTGTGGCAAATGGTTCTGCTTCTGGAACCCATCAATATTTGTCTAGGCATCTTTCAGTTGTACCATTTACTCTTAATTGCATTTTAAAACATTACGAGGGGAAAGGGCTCGTCTTCCAGTCCTCATTTGAATGAGGGTTTAATTAATATCTGTGAGAAGGGAGCCAAATTAGTCTCTGGCACACTGCTGAGGGCTTCCTTTCAGAGGAAAAAGATGCTAACTGATATATGGGGGATGAATTTATGAGGTACATGGATTTGCATGCTGGCCAGAATGAGTGGTAGAAAGTGACCATTCTTCTGTCCTAGTTCACAAGTTAATTGTCTGGTTTTTATTGTAGCAATCTTCCTCAAGCTAGCCGGAGCATACTTCCTAGGTGCAAGAAGTCCATAGCAAGGAAGTGAATTATTAAGGAAAATTTTTGTCAGCCAAAATCCTGGTCTGTAACAGGAAGTCTCTTCTTGACTTGAATGAAATTTGAGTCAGTGCTTTGGCTTATTCAATCTTCATGTTGAATGCTTGCCTGTTTATTGTTTTAAACCATCTTTTCATTCATGTCCTTTCTAAAAGCTGGTAATACCAGTCCAAAATTCTTGAAGGCCACTCCTCTGTCAATAGCTGTGACTGGTGGGGTTGAAGGTAGCCTGTGAATATGGAATGACAGGTCACAGAGCCAGACTGATGTGTCTTTAATGCTACCTGGCTGGTGTTGCAAAGCCTTCAAGCCAGTTTTTGGCATTTCCTTTGCCGTCACTTTCTGTCTTTATGCATCATTAGGTGCTGCAAGAGAGTTCACATTAGCCAAGTACCTGATTTCCTTAGGCGTTTCTCTGAGCTTGTTCTGTGCTGCTGAACAGACTCCACAGAGCTGGGCACCCTCATTACTGTCCTTTGCTTCCTGCTAAGAGTGGAAATACTGTCGGGCATCCCACACTCATGTCCTCATCCTAATAGGATTAAGAAAAGCATGATGATGTTTTATTGAGGGAACAAACATTTCTGTGCCTCTCTCTTGATCTTTCTGTTGCAGAAAGGGAAAAATAATTAGCAAGTTTTAAGTCTACTTTTGATGCTTTGTAGATAAGAGAACTAAAGGCATGCAAGGTTTTGAGTATTTTTTTTTTTCATTTTGCTTCCTAGTTTTTTCATTCAGTTTCTGATTAGAGGGATAAGACAATATTTGGCTGAGCTCTATTAGCAATAGAGTTTAATTTGGCTCTTAGTTAACAGGGTATTCAACACCTACATACAAATTGCTGTAATTTTTAACCTTTCCTTCAGAATATCTAGTTTTTATTGTTCTAATGAATTAGCTTACCTTTTTTCTTTTATTTTTTAAATTTTCTTTAAAGAAAGAAAACCAAACATGCTTTGAGGAGCCTCTCTTTCTTGCTTTAGATATACCTCGGTGGTGGTGGTAGGACTGTTGGACAATTTAGTGTTTAGAGCCTCATTGTCAAGAGGTGCCTATCTTGTCAGCTGAGCTTTACCAGCTGCAGGAGAGTGGGGTTAAAGTACAGTAAAGACTTGAGATTAATCTAATTTGCTTGTGCACCAGTGGCTTTGCTCCAATTTCCCAGAAGACTAAGCCATGTGTTGTAATGACAATGTTTTCCAAAGAACTTTAGAAACTGAGCTAAAGATCCTATAAAATGGAATTGAGGTCTTCATGAGTAACTGTTCTGCCATTAATGCTCTATTCTTCCTTTGTTACTAAAAAAATTAATTCTGAGCATTTTAATGTCCTCCACTTAAGTTCTGAGACTAGTAGCACAGATCCTTTTTGATGTTACCCCTCTCCCACCTATTCTGAAACTTCTTTCTTGATTGCCACCTTTCTTTTCCCCCTCCAAATTCCTGTGTAATACAGATGCTAGAGAAGAAAGAAAAATAGAAAAATTTAGCAATTCCCACTTACCAGGCTCTTGCTTCCTGTTTAGAAATAGTGCAGGCTGATTTTTCCTTCCTAAATGCTTCTGAGTTCTGGGAAAGCTCAGAATCTATTTCATTCAGAGTCATCTCTGCTCCTGTATCAAATGTAGTGTTTCTTTTTACTTGTTTTGATGAGTAGCATTTAAAAGCAGGTTTGTGACTGAGCTTACTGGGGTCTGATGCTGAAAACTCCCTTTGAATCTTCACAGTGATTTTGCAGAGGCAGTTCTGGATGAATTATTAAAGAAGACTAAGAGGACAAGAGCAGTTAGAGCAGGGCAAAGAATTGTGCTGGGGTGTGGGAGATGTGCCTTCTATTCCAACTTGAATTCAGCCCTGGGGACTTTTTCAGAAAGCTGAAAGCTGCAAAATCACTGTGAAGATTCAAAGGGAGTTTTCAACTTTCAGTAACCTTCCCTGTAACACGAAGTCATGAAGATGTGTGCCAGAAATAAGATGTTTAACTGTCATGGGATCTGATAAAATGCAAGGGGTTTTTTTGAGTTTCCCATAAAATAGTGGAAGTAGTTGAATCTTTTATTCCCTTAACTTTCAACACTGTTAATGATTTATTTCCTGCATTCCTGGTGTTTGGGTTTTTTCCATGTTTGTAGTCAATGAATATTAGAGTTAATTTTTATCTTCTGAGCTCTAACATTCTCCATCTTGACATTATTACACTATGCTTTTATTCAGACCATTGTCATTCATAATGAGCTGAAAGCTTGTTAGATACTGCTGTTGACAGGGGATTTCTAGCCCTGCCCAGAAAAATATCCTTGTGTTGCCCTGTGTCAGCCTGGGGCCCAAGGTGTTTCCAGCAAGGCTCGTTCTGTGGCAGGTTTGAAGCAAACCCGCATCCTGGCTTTTTGGCACCCTAGGAAGAAATGCATCAGGGCTGTTTCATGGCAGCACTGGACTGAGGGATAATGTAGTTTGTGACAGAAGTCATCTGCATCACCAGTGACCTTCAACAGGGCAGGCACGTGCTGCCCTGCCTTCCATGGGCAAGGATAATTCTGGCTCTTTCTGGGATTGTAAAGCATTTGCCTAGATTTCTGACTGATGGTTTAGGTGGAATCCTCTGCCAAGTGCATATTTGCATGGACTAAAATAGAACAGGCTCTGAGCTTTAAAAACAAACTGAGTGTAGCTTCTGATTTTCTCCTTTGGGGCTTTCTATAAGGAATACATAGAATACTTTATTTCTGAAATAAAAAAGTGCCATTTGAGCTATTATTTTGTTAAATGAAAACACACACAGTCTTTAAATATGAGTCTTTCCATTTCACCTCCCAGGGCATCCTGGGGTTTCCATATGTCCTTGCAGTTGCCTGAAGAGCCGTGTCACAGCCTGTTTCCTTGTGGTGGCTGTGTTTCAGCAGATACCATGCCAGCTGAATGTGTGTGGGTGTCCTCTGTGTGTTGCTGAATCAACGTTTTTTACTTGCTGAATTCAAAAGCACTTTATCGTGAAGAAAATAAATCGATTTTACTGCATGAAAAATGTATACAGGTACAAGGGTCCATGCCATCATTACTGTAAAAAAGCACTGAGGCATTCCATGGAAAAATTTCACAGTTAATAGTACCTTACATTGGGATGATGATCTTTGTTATCTCTTCCTAGTTCAATGACTTTACAAACAGCATAAATTTGTAAAACCATTCTAGCATTGCAGTTCACAGATGTGCAATATCTGTTACCTTCCTGGCTGGACAATGAGCTGTCACAATAAAAAAATTATTAAATGTTTGATTTGTTTCTTTCAGGACTGTCCTCTTCCTATTCTGCTACTAGTAATACATACATAAATTAAACTACTGTGTTATTTAGAAGGTTGGTGCTACAAAACCCGGTTTAAAACATCTTCACATACAGCACACAGTACCTTATTTTACATAGAATATCGTGTCTTGAAACGTAGGTCTTTCATCTTAAGCATCTGTGCAGGGGCCTCCATCCTTGAGCTATGCCTGGCACTTCCCTGGCTCCCAGTCTGGTCCCCAGCCCCACAGTAAGTAGGGGGTTCTGCACTTTTCTCTTCATCAGTCACATAACATGCTGGTCTTTAAAAGTGTCTCTGAGACACAAAACTAAAGCTCACGTGAAGATGGAAAGGAACTATCAAATTCCCTTGAGGGTCACACAGAGGGGTGTTCAGCACTCAAAGGCATCAACATCAGGAAGCCAGTAGGTGCTTCGGTGCCAGCTTGCAACAGAATCAGCTGTAGGCAACTGCCTAGGACTGGACTGACTCCTGAGTTTCAGACAGCCTGAAGAGCTGTTGGTTGTTTCATTAAATTGAGCTTTTATTTGGTTTGTGTTTGACCAAACACACTCTAGAGATCTCCAGCTCTTCCCAGCAATGTACAGCTTGGACATGTGTGAGCCAAGCTGCAAATATGTCCTGGGGCTGAGAAACTTTTGTAGCAGTCCTTTATAGTGCCCTCTCTGCATCATTTCAATCACTATTGTCTCCAAAAATTAACTACTGCGAAGGTTTTTTTGAATACTTTTGGACTCCTGACATGCTAGAGCATGTTTCTGCTTTAGCATGTTATTTCTGTTCTTGAGTGGGACTTCCTGCTTCTTTGTGGGTAAGGGCAAAGCAGGAACCAAGTTCTGCAGTAGCATTAACTTGTGCAGAGAGGGAAAAAAGAATTTAAATTATTTATCTGCCTCGTGGTTTACTTTTGAGCTTATCTTCAGCAAGCTCAGCTTTTCTTAAGCCTTTGATACTTTCATAGGTGAACCTTCTCCTTAAAAAAATTAAATAAAAATAGTTTTAAGCCTTTTCCTGTATTTGGCTTTTCCAGGAAGTTTAGCATATTTGTAGCTTTTGCTTGGGTTTCCTATTTTGCCAATTCAGTGACGTGGTTGAATGGAGCACCTGAAGCCCAGACTCCTTAGAGTTAGCAGGAAACTGCTGCACTTTTCTAAACTTACTTACTTGAGCTGCCTATTTCCATACCAGAAAACTTACCCCTCTGCACAAAACTTCAGAAAAAAGCCCAGTGAATTTATTTCTTAGAGCCATTTACTTTTGCTAATTGATTTCAGAGCCAGGACTGATGCAGCAGAGGTAGCCAATCTCTAAATCAGTAAGGTATTTATACAATACAGGAAGAAAAGAGTAATCAAACTTCAACTGAGTTGAGGAAATGAAGAAAAGCTGTCAGATTGAAATAAGTTTTACAGGAGAACTCTTCACACTGCAGTCTTGTACACCTACCTTGTTCATATTTGCCATCATATACTGATGACAGCACAAGAATTAAGCATGTAAGAAACTTACAAAAGCAATAGGAAGGATTATGCAAAATGCCTCAACATTAAGGCCTGGAGTTATAAAAAAAGGGAGAAGTAAATTTACCATACTATGATGTGCAAGATGATATAGCTCTGAATTCATTCTTAGCACTCTAAGAGCTCATCTCTTGAAAGGGACAGAGGATAGCTGGAGCTTCAGTTACACACTGGATGAACAGGAGCCAAGAATAAGATATGGCTGTCAGAAAAAAAATAATTCCAAAATGTTTTGGACATATTTTTATTAGACACATAATGAGCCATAGCATTGCACTGATTTTTTTTTTTTTTTTTTTTAGTCTTTTTTTTAATATAATGTGGCACAGAAATTTTCAATTATTTTCATGAAAATCTTAATGGAAGGTGGCTTGTTTGTAAATGTAAAATGAAAAGCATGGGGCAAAGTGTAAGTGAAAGGGTAATGCTGGCTTCAGGGTAGTTAGGTAAAAACTGTTAGTAACTTTAGTCCACATATTAGGCAAAACCCTCATTTGAGTAAGACTCTGAAAGATTTACAACAGTGACAACAAGAACTGGAAAGAACTTTTAGAATAAAGCTTGGTTGTTTCCAAAAGAGTTGCTATGGGATGGTTTTCTGCAAGAGCAGAAGACCAGACTCTGCCTCTGAAGCAAATTTCTTCCAGTTCTCTGGTACAGCTGCAAATAAAAGCTGAGCTATTTCACTCGCCCTCTTCCAGAAATATCAGTGCAAGGGACCCCTTTCAAGTTCTCTGCAGAGACTGCCTTTTTTGCTCATTTCCTGTTTTGATTGTGAGCATGTAGCAGTGTAGGAGTCACAGAGATGATCTAACCTTGTCTTTGATCCGACTGTGCCTGGTTTAACTGAAAGATTCATGTCTGAGATAACACAGATTATATTTGCTTCATACTGTTCTCTTTCCAAGTAGCTGATGTCTCCAGGTTGGAGGCAGAAGTGATATTATTTCCTACTGAACAACCCAGCTGATAATGGTTGGTGTTATACCATTGCAGCAGAAGAAAGAAAGGAGCTACCTTAGGTTAGGTTCTTCTGTTATTGCCAAATTCTTCAGTTATTGCATTTGGTTTGCTCAATAAACCATACATTGTAGCAATATGCCCCCAGCAACCTGGGTTGGACTGGGTTTAATTACTTGTGACCACAAAAACTGATAATCTCGTGGCCAGTGGTGTGAGCAGCACTTCCCTTTCCAGCTGAACAGAAATTGCTCAACAGCTACAGCGCTTCCTGCCCTCCCGTGCAGCTCAGCAGCGCCAGGATGCCTGGGCAGGCACAGGCTCCCAAGGAGCCTGGCACAGGGGAGCATTTTCAGCTCTGGCTCCTGACTCTAGCCTAACCAAGCCAGGAAAACCAGCAGGAAAACCACAACTGCCATCAGCTCCAGGATTGCTGCACCTGCTGCTGTTGGACAAAGTGACTCAAACGCAGCCGGTAAAGCGCTGATCCACAGGCGGCATTGCTCCATGTACTTCTTCATCCAGTGAGCCAAAAAATACAGGCTTAGGGGAACATGGAGCTGAAATCAGCTTTAAAAAAGGCGTAGCCCAAAGATTACAACTCTGGTTAAATTTTTCATATAACTTGGATTAATTTCTCCTTTCCTCTGTTGAAGGTGACTATCTCCTGGTTTGTAAAGGTAAAAGGAAGAAGGGCATAAATAAAAGGAAACATCATTTAAGGAAACATCAAAGCTATTGTAATGTGGGATGACATTGCAAGACCAGCAAGTTTATACTGCTTCAACCTGCATATGATAGTTTTCCATTACTACAGTATGCTCTTCAGAGTGCAAAGTTCCCTGGAAACATACCACAGTTGTGCAGACCTCCAAGCCTGTTGGTAGCTGTGGTTAAAACACATATGTTCTCTTTAAAAGCATGTACATACCTTCTCTGTGCCTGAAGAAATCACAGTGAAAAAATGTCATTTAAGAAATTTACATCCCAGTAACTAATCTGATACATTATCAGATACCAACATAGGATCAGGGATCTCCCATGGGACAGTTTACTACCACAAAGGCAGCATAGGATATTATTTGTTTTCCATTAGTACCTGCAAATTTCTATGCATTTGATGCTGTAAAATCCTGTTGTAAGAAATTAAAATAAAGGTTGAAAACAGTGATTTTCTTGGGGAGGTACGGAATGGTTGTACTTGGGAGCTGAGATGAAC